AAAAAAAAAAAAAAAAAAAAAAAAAAAAAAGAAAACAACTCTAAAGTTCAATAATGGAAGAAATTTGAAAAGGGAGAAAAGATTAAAAGAAACACATCACAAAGCTACATGTGCAAAGGTGCTTATTAACATCTGCAGTCATCAGGAAAATGCAAATTAAAACCACAATAAGATATCACTATACAACAATTAGAGTGGCTAAACATAAAAAAGGCTTGTAATACCAAATATCGGCAAGAATGTGGAGCAACTGGAACTCTCATAATATTACTAGTTGGAGTACACAAACACTTTGGAAAACAGTTTAAGTTCTTATAAAGGTAAGCATACATTTACATATAACCCAGAAATTTCTCTCCTAAGAGAAATGAAAATTCATGTCCAAATAAAGACTACACAAATGTTCACAGCAGTTTTGTTCATAAGAGCTAAAAACTGGAAACTCAAATGGTCCATCAAGAGACAAATGGATAAACAAATTGTGATATATCCATATAATAAATACTACCTAGCAAGAAAAGAAAAAAGGCTACTCGTACGTACAACAAGGATAAATCACAAAAACATCATGCTAAACGAAAGCCAGAAACAAAAGAGAGTACATAGTATGTGATTCCAATGTAGGATGGGAAAATCTAAAATATAGCCACAAAAAGCAGAATAGCGATTACATAGTTACAAAGTAGTAGAAAGAGTGGTAGGAAAGACTGCAAAGAGAAGTGAAGGAACTTTGTGAGATGATAGAAAGGTCTTGGATCTTAATTAATGTAATGGTTACATGAGTACATTCATTTGTCAAAACTCATCAAACTGTACACTTAAAATGAGTGCTTCCTATTTTATGTAAATTTTACCTCAATAAAATTGATTTTCAACATTATAAATGTATTACCCCTTAATTCTAGAGATTACTAAATACTGAACAGTATTTGAATTCACAAATTCATCTCTCCCACAAAAGAGTAAATTGTAATGGGGGCAGAAGAGAGACAACACATCAGAATTCAACCTTTTTCATCTGTTCATTATTGCTTCCTTCAAGTAATTAGGAAAACTATAAATAGGATGGGGATAAATACATAAAAACCAAGTAAAAAATCATTCTTTATAAATTTCTAGTACATAATAAAATAGAATCAGAGAACCTCAAAATAGAATAAGAACAGAGTTTTACAGGAATCTTTGAAAATTCAGGCTCACTTTTGGAAACATAAATATCTCATTACCTCCCTTACATTTATCTGAAATTTCAAAATAGATGTTGTGACTTTAAAATAAAAATCAAGGCAATTATAACACTGAATATATATTTTTTCATACTTTATCAATACTTCCCAGTCCTCTCACCCCACCTTTCAAGAGCTGAAAATCAATTAATTAAAGGTTTCTAATATTGGTGGTTGCTGTGCTAAGCCACTGTGCTTCTTAAGCAGACTTTTTTTCAGATGCCTGTAGAAAAGAGGGTGCTTGTTAAAGATAAGGGAAAAGGATAGTTGGCGTTAAAGAGTTTGCTATGTTTGCATATTTGACTTGAATATGATGTATACAAAGTATTTAGTTTAATGCCTGACAAATATTAAAGATTCACAAATGTTAAATATTATTTTATTATGACCGGGAGTAGGTTGCCCTTGAATTTTCTTGCTCAGAAGTATTCTCATCAATCCGTGCCATCAGTAAAAATCAATTACATACTTTCATGTTAATAAATTCCTGTCATTAATGCAAATGATCCCTAAGAGGATCAATCCCCATTTACATCTTTGTCTAAGTTTTGTTTTAACAGACAAAGAAATTAGTTTTGGAGGGGGAAGAAAAAGAGGGAAATTTTAAGCAGCAGGGCTTCTTGTTATAGATAGCTTTAGAAGATGAGAGACAGGAAGAAGTCCTCAAGAAACAAATGACATCCTCTTATAAGCTTTCCCTAAATATCCAGACTAGGGTTAGGTGATCTTCCTGTGGACACCCACTGTACCCTCTGTTTACTCCTATCACATCATTATCACTCACATTGATTTCTATTTGTTTTTATTCCCTCATTAGACTACATGCTTCAAGGGTACGGGGGTAGGGGTAGGGGCTATATCTTGTTTACAATCTTCTCTCAGAAGCTAGCATGTGTTCTGGTACAGAAGGAAATTTTTAAAAATTGCTAATAAATTAAGGAAACTTAGAAAAGTAGAGGAGTCTAGAGATAGATGGAAGCTCAGAAAGGGAAGTGTTGAGATTCAAAAAAATACCAACACACATAGTCACTTTTACAAATATGCCTAGGGTCCAGGGTCCTAACAGACTGCTAAGGGAATGAGTAAATGCATTAGGATTACCTCAGAATATTGCAAACTTGTTTCCTCCAACTCATAACAGTTTCAGCCTGATAATCTTCCCTTTTAATTCTATACCAAAAGGAGAAGATGAAGAACAAAGAATAAAGAGGAAAAGAAAAAAAGAGCTATGCACACATCCCACTCATCTTTCTCTCCTCCTCAATTCCACAGTATTGTCCATCTTTATTATTCTATGTCTACCTGCTAATCTGAGACTCTGATATACTCTAACATGTAAGAATTACTAGACAGTAAAAAAAGAAAACATACCTTATATGTTCAGCCAATTCTGAATCTATGGAATTCAAATTGACAACACTATTTTGTCCTGTCAATATGTGCTGTCTGCATAAATTTAGATTTCCGGTCATAATTAACTAAAAACTAAGCCATTCTACCATTCAAAATTCGGAAATCGAGTCTCTCAAATGCTCAAATCTACTATGTTTTCTCCCATTCAAAATCAAATAAAATGTTTTTCCTTCTTTTTAGAGAAATGTTCTGCTGAAGACCAGAAGCTGTTTAACCCACTAAAGGAATAAACTCCACCCTTGTTACAGTGAAATCACCAATACTGGCTAAATTATCATATCTTTGAAATGTCTTTTTTGACTAAAAAAGCCTTACTACTTTTTTTTTTAAGCAAATTTGTATTGAGCATCTATGTACTGCAGTTGATTTAACGCTGAAGTCTGCAGATATTATGAAGAATACAAAACTGCTAGGAGACTCTGCTCTCAAAAAACTTAAAATCTTGGCAAGGAAAGACAATATTGAAAC